TCCTTTCTTTCTTTCTTTCTTTCTTTCTTTCTTTCTTTCTTTCTTTCTTTCTTTCTTTCTTTCTTTCTTTTTTTAAAGAATGATTTTATTTAACTCTATCCATTTATTTTAATTTTACCAGAGAGGGACAGAGTGAGAGAGAGAGAATGAGAAAAGAAGCTAACCAGGTCTGGGACTTGGTAGCCTATGTAGGAGTCCAATGTCCTCAACCACCACACCACCTGCCAACCCCAAGACTGCCTGTTCTTCAAGCTGTCTTCCCCTGAGGGTTTGAAGATGAACTCCCACTGGGAAATGCAAGAGCAGGTGGGAGTGATAATTGTACTCAGTGGTGCCTGGAACTGTCCAGCCTTAGAGTCATCTTTCTAAACGTCCTTTTACCTCTGGTGAACCAGGTACATGAGCAGACTAGAGGCTGGCTTTTGGCCTTCCCTCAGTACATTTTGCCAACCTGTAGGAGAATACGAACTTTTAGCCAAAACAACTGGGCCCAGGGCAGTATAACTATCACCAGGGAAAAAGAAACTGGGTGTATTATCTATAGCTGTAAAATAAATTACCCCCAAATATAGCAGCTTACAACAAGATTTATCATCCATCAGTTTCTAAGGGCTAGGAATCTGGGAGCAGTGGAGACAGGTGGTTTCAATTCAGGGTTTCCCCTGAAGTTTCAGTCAAGATGTCAGCCAGGACTGCAGTCAGCTGAAGGCTTGACTTGGCTGATGGATCCACTTCTAACCTAGCCCACTCACAGGCTGGTGGCCGGAGGCTTCGGCTTCTCACTACCTGAGTTTCTCCCTGGGGCTCCTCACAAGTGATCTCAACAAGCAACTGAGAGACTGTGACAGAGACAGATAACTTCAGAAATAACATAGGGACCAGCAGTTAGCGTAATGGCTGTGTCGCTGGACTCCCATGTAGTCGACCGCGGTTCGCATCCCGGACCTGGTGGCTTAAAACTCACGCTGAGCGCGTGTATGTGCGTGGCCAAGATCCCAAGAAGAGAATGGAGGAGAAGGGATTGTGGCATGGCCATCCCCCCTGGGGGGTGATTTCTTGCTTTCTGTCTCTTTGTCTCTCTCTGTCTGGCAAGCGCGCACGCCCTATAGCAAAAAGAAAAACCTCTCGAAAAAAAAAAAAAAGAAAGAAATAACATACCATCGCTTCTGTTGTATTTTATCAGTCATGTAGACCAACCCTAGCATAGTGTGGGAAGGGACTGCACAGGATGTGAATACTAGGAGATGGGGATTATTGGAGGCCGGATTGGAAACTGGCTACCACACTGAGTACCATAGAATATCTGGAGCAGAAGTACTAGGACAGACAGAAGAATTTTAAATAAGTATAATAAATATGAGATAACATTACAGTATAAACAAGGGGGGCTGGATGGTGGTGCAGCAATAGAATATGCTGCTCTGTGAAGCTGACCTACACGGGAAGGTTTCGGGTTCATGTCCAGGGGCATCCCTGAGTATACCGGGCATACACAGCCCATGATCCAGGACTGGCTGAGGCTGGAGGGGAATCGTGTCATCAAGATCCTTTTGGGGTTGTTATCATTATCTCTCTTGCTCATGGAATAAATAAATAAACTTTAAAAAAGAATATAAGACAGGAACCAGAGATTTTAAAAAAGATCCCCAAAATGTTAGGTATAAGTACAATGATAGAAAAAAAGAAACAAAAAATATACTGTGGACCAGCCCCTTGCCCTGGTGGTTAAGGGAGATGGATCCCATGTGGTTTGCATGCTGGCCCTGATGGCTTGAAAAATATTCTAGGGAAAAAAAAGAAAGAAAATTATGCTGGGTGGGGGCCATCAGGTGGCGTGGTGGTGAAGGTGCTAGACTCCCACATGCCCAACTATAGTTTGAGTCCCAGACTTGGTGGCTTGAAAATCACACCCGGCACATGTGTTTGCTTGCCCATTATCCCAGAGGGTGATTTCTCACTTTCCCTCTCACTGACTCTTTGTCTCTCTCTGGTGACCACACGCACTCCATGGAAAAAAAAAAAAGAAAAAAAATATGCTGGGTATGTGTATGTGTGTACTGAAAATCCTGACAGGTGAGGAGATGGGGGAAAGGGGATTGTGCTGTGACCACATTCCATTGTGGTGTGCTTTCTCCTCTCTCTCTCTCTCTCTGGTGAATGCACGTGGCCGCTGGCAAAATTTTATACACACACACACACACAGTGGAGAATATGAAGTGATAATATTGGAACTATGTCCTGATATAATGGTAATTCCAAAAATATTTAAAACACAGTGACCCACATAGATTAAAATGAAAGTCAAGGGGCCGGCAGGTGGCGTGGTGGTTAAAGGCACTGGATTCCCATAAGGCTGACCACGATTTGAGTCTCAGACCTGGTGGCTTGCTTTCTCACTTTGCCTTTCTCTCTCTCTCTCTCTCTCTGGTCAAATTAAAAAAAATAATAACAAATGGAATTAAATAAATAAATCTTGAAAAAAAAAAAAGAAAGTCAAAAGCCCAAAGGAAGCTGAGATAGCCATCCTAATACTTAACAAAGTAGAACTGATGACTAAGATCACAAAGGGCAAAGAAGGACATACATTCATTAACAAGGAAGATATGTCTTCCATAAACACATATATTTCTTTAAGAGAGATGTTTGCTGTAAGGCACGTGCGTTCACCAGAGAGACACGGAGACAGAAAGTGAGAAGTCGCATACCCCCTCCCCCAGGGGAATGATCATGCTGCAAT